GGGCTGGCCCGGGGCGGGGTGGGGGCGGGGGCCGGGAGAGAGCCTGCCTCCTTTGCATCTTTCGAGGTCACAGCTTTCCCGCGTCGGTTTCCTGGTCCTCAGGCCCACATTCTATGGGAAATGTGAATCAGGGGCCTTCAGAGTGGACGATAAAAGCCGAGGTCCGCAAGTTGTAGCGTTACCCGGTCTTTTGCCCCCAGTAGCGTCAGGAAGCCAGAGGCAAGATTTGTTTGTTTCTTAGGACCCATATTCAGCCTGCTCTGTGTAGACACGCTGCATTGGGCCAGGGCAGGAGAGGGGAACCTATTGGGCTGCACCTATAGGACTGAAAGAAAACCCAGTATTTTCATTCGCTCGCTCACTCTTCATTCGGCAGACTTCTCTGGAGAGCATGCTGTGAACACAGTGATAATTTGGGGCAGAGAGTGAACTCAGGTTGTCAGGTGTGACATTTAGGAAGTGCTTTTATCCACTGAGCCATCTCTCCAGCATAAAATACATAACATTTGGCTTGTAGCTTTACACTATTTTTTTTTCCCTGTCTTAGACCAGTGAGGAGTAGCCTGGCAGGTGACTTCTTTCTTTTGACACTATGTATGTTATATTACAGGAGGATGCAAAACAAGCCAGCAGTGACATCCCTCTAGGTAAGTAATGTTTTTGAAAATCAGTCATTTTAGGCCAAGGGGGCTGACTCAATGGTAGAGAGAGCACTTGTGTAAGATGGGACCTGGAGTCAGTCCTAAGCACCACACACACACACACACACACGCACGCACGCACGCACGCACGCACGCACGCACGCACGCACGCACGCACACACACACACACACACACGCACACACACAAAGCCATTTACTGAACTTCTCACATGTTCCTTGCAGATCTCACCAGACCAGTGAAAGACAGTAGAGAGACCAACCATGGGTGTGAAAGAAGTCTTTGCAGCATAGCTTAGAATAGTGAATAAATGACGGCTTGACCATGCATATACACTGTCTCCCCCCCACAAACAGCTCTTAGTGTGCTTGTGATTTGGAACTGTCTTTGTGGTATAGGGGTTCAGTCTCTGGGGAAACAGGTATTGTGCTCAGTGGACAGTGGTTGCCTCTCCTGGCCTCCCGAGCTCTCTGGAGGTTCACACAGCATTCTGTTTCAACAGACTCAGCTGCAGCCTGCATGACCCACCTGTCTTACAAGCAGGGTTGCTGGGCTCCATAGCACAGCCATTCCACTTAGTACCAGGTACCTTTGTTATTGAATCAGAACAAGATTTAACTGGCTTTTCCAAAGGAGGGAGTCTGGGAGGTGGTCCCAAGATGGGCAGCATTCCCTGCCACTACGGCACCATCGTACCTCAGCTGAGGTTTACCAGCTGATCTTGCAGTTAACTCCTGCTGTATCTCCAAAACCCAAACACTACAAAGCCGTTGCATGAGTTATAGAAATGGGAGGAAGGAACCTCATTTTCCAGTTTAAAAATAAACAAGTAGCTGGGCGTTGGTGGCACACGCCTTTAATCCCAGCACTTGGGAGGCAGAGGCAAGTGAATCTCTGTCTGTTCGAGGCCAGCCTGGTCTACAGATCGAGTTCCAAGGCAGGCTCCAAAGCTACAAAGAAACTCTGTCCTGAAAAAACAAAATAAACAAGCAAATAAATAATTAAGCAAACAAATTGGGCAGTGGTGGCACACATCTTTAGTCCCAGCACTTGGGAGGCAGAGGCAGGCAGATCTCTGTAAGTTCAGGGCCATCCTGGTCTGCACAGTAAGTTGCAGGACAGCCATGGCTACACTGAGAAACCCTGTCTTGTCTTGAGAAACTAAAATAAGTAAACAAAACTATAAATGGAGGCAGAGCTTTTCTGTCCTAATTGCTTGTCCCAAATAAAAACATAAAACACATAAAAACTTATATTAATTACAAAATGGTGGTTTTTTTTTTTTTTTTGGTTTTTCGAGACAGGGTTTCTCTGTGGCTTTGGAGGCTGTCCTGGAACTAGCTCTTGTAAACCAGGCTGGTCTCGAACTCACAGAGATCCTGACTCTGCCTCCCAAGTGCTGGGATTAAAGGTGTGCGCCACCAACGCCCAGTTACTTACAAAATGTTTGGCCAATAGCTCAGGCTTATTACTAACTAGTTCTTACATTGAAATTAACCCATTTCTATTAACCTATGTATTACAGTGTGGCTCATGGTTTACCTGTTCTCTAACATCTTGCTTCTTGGACAGTTCCTGGCATCTCTCTCAACTCCTTCCTTCTTCATCCCAGTCTTTAGTTTGATTGTCTGCCTAACTTTATCCTGCCTTGCTATAGGATAAACAGCTTTATTATTAACCAGTGAGAGTAATACATATTCACAGCATACAGAAGGATTATCCCACAACACAAGAGAAATTGTAGGACTTTGCCAAGATCATATAGTGACCACACTATCTTTCAGGGTGAGAGGTCCCGAACTGAAAATCAAGTTCTCATCCATCCAACACATGATTTCAACCCAGACCATGAGAACACACGTCAGAAACAATACTCTCTTGTCCCCTTGTCCCCGTCTGACTGTGTAGTCTAAACTGAAGGCCTCAAACTCAACATTCTCCTCCCTCAGACTTCCAAGTGCCAGCATTACAAGGAATGCGCCATCCCTCCTCCCTCAGACTTCCAAGTGCCAGCATTACAAGGAATGCGCCATCCCTCCCCCAGTCTTCTTGTCCACTTGAGCTTCTAGTCCATCATGATTCCATACCTGACACTCTTTGTACTATGTGAAACTAAGTCTGTCCCTTAGCTTGAAAGAGTCTTCTCTTTAAAACAACAAACAAAAACAGCAGAAGGATTTGGTAGAATATGCTAGACTTGGGTCATAGTTTTGCTCCCTCCACTCTCTTGGAGGTCTTGGGAAAGTCAGTTGTCCTGATTTTAGTTTTGACATCTTTGGATGCTTGTGTGTGTGTGTGTGTGTGTGTGTGCGTGTGTGTGTGTGTGTGTGTTAGTCACATTGACTAAATAAGCAGTGTGTGTGTGTGTGTGTGTGTGTGTGTGTGTGTGTGTGTGTGAGAGAGAGAGAGAGATAGTCACATTGACTAAATAAGCAGTCTACCTGTTCGACCATGGGGAATCCTCTATATGTATTCTTCTATTTTGCAGATCGATTGAGCATTTCCTACTGTCGGAGTAGCGGTCCTGGGGGGCAGAATGTTAACAAAGGTACAGGCACCACAGTGTCACCTTTTGCTTTAAATCTCAGCTGGGAGGGGCAGTGAGAGGGAGCTCTGCAACTCCGCATTCACATTCCTGTGGAATGAAGGGGTTTTCTGCAGCGCTCACACACCTCCAGCTTATAATAATCCTTTTGACTCTTCTGAATGTGGTCCGATTGTCTGCTTCTCAGCTGTAGGTTGCTAAGGCTGGGATTGGCTTTGAGGGTAAACAAAGAGAGCTCACAGTATGAACTGGCAGCCTGCTTGGATCCACAGAGAACAGGTTTCCTTTGCTCTCATGAAACCCATCCCCCTGCTCTTTTCAGAGGCCAGTAAAACTGTTGTTAGCAACCCTGTACATTTGGATAACAGAAGTCTAGTTGTGTCTCACTGTTTGCCTGGTGGGCTTGTTCCGTGGCTAGCTCCAACCTAGTTCCTGGCTAGGTAGTTGGCTCCTAGTTCAGAACTGTCCTTTAACCCCTGGGCACCATGACTGCAGAGACTCAGGATTCTGTTCCTTTCTCCCCATCCACAGTGAGTTCCAAGGCTGAAGTCAGGTTTCACTTGGCCAGCGCAGACTGGATTGCTGAACCCGTGCGCCAGAAGATTGCCCTCAAGGTACCCACCCCTTTCTGTACCTGTGGATCCCTGGGTTGGGGTTAGGCCTGTGGGTAGGCCCCTTCATTTTCCTCCTTGGCAGCATAAAAACAAGATCAATAAGGCAGGAGAATTAATACTCACCTCCGAGAGCAGTCGCTATCAGTTCCGGAATCTGGCGGAATGCCTACAGAAAATTCGAGACATGATTGCAGAGGCCAGCCAGGTCCCCAAGGAGCCAACCAAAGAAGACGCCCAGCTCCAGAGACTCAGGTGCAGATGGGCAGAGGAGAGGAGGCAGGGTAGAGTCCAGGGGCTACCAACAGGGTCAGTGGGGAAGCTGCTGAGAGGAGCAAGGTGCTGACGGGGCCAGGTGCACATCTGGCTCCTGCTGACTGGGCTACTCTGCTCCCCTCAGCTCCCGGCTTTGAAAAGCACTGATTGCACATCTGGGCCTCATTGCCGTCTTTTGTTTTCAGGATAGAAAACATGAATCGGGAGAGGCTGCGCCAGAAAAGAATAAACTCTTCCATAAAGACGAGCAGGAGGGTGACTATGGACTGAAGTCACCCCACACTGCCGGCAAAGACTGGGGTGTCATGCAACTCTGCAGAGAGCTGCCACACCAGGGGAAACTTTTCTCAATTAATTGGAGCCTTTCCAGACCGTTCCTTAGGAGGGAAGGCTACAGGTCTTCGGGGCAGCCTCCTCAGTTGTCCACCTCATGTATTACTGGCTGCAATAAACTTCTAAGTACAGGAGCCTCACCTCTCAGAGCTTTGCAACAGAGCTCCTGCGTTTCAGCCTAAACACACCTCAAAGTTAGTGCCCAGCGCTGTGGCAGCACATTGGGCAGCAGAAGATTGTGGGTAGGTCCTCAAGGAGCATACAGCTAGGAGGGCTGGGATACGTGAGCAGGCATTTGAGCTGGACCTTCAAAAACACAAAGAAACTGAACACAGTGGGCAGGAAGGAAGCTGGTGGCAGGAGGTGACAAGGAACCCAGGGTGCCAAATGGCAGGTTGTGCAGGAGACTTGGGTGGTGCTCCTGGGAGGAAGACATGTAAGAGCCTCAAAATCCACTAAGCTATATCCCCAAGCCAGAATCTTGGGTTTGTTTGTTTACTTACATCGTGGGTGGTCAGTTGTGTGTGACTGACACACACACACACACACACACACACACACACACACACACACACACACACACACACACACGAGGGGTTAGAGAGCAACTTGGAGAGTTGGGGATGGAACTCACCTTAGGCTCAAAGGCAAATATTTTTACCTGCCAAGCCATCTCCCTGGCGGTGATTTTATTTGTTATTATGAGGAGAGGTATGCTTGACCCACAGTGCATGTCTGGTGGTCAGAGGATGACTTGTGGAAGTCAGATCTCTTCCTCCACCATGTAGATCCCAGGGACCAATCGGGCTTGGCCACAAGCGCCTTTACCTGCTGAGCCATCTCACCAGCCCCTGCAGGATGTTTTGTTTACCTCCCCCAAAGTATTTATTTTCAGAAGCAAAAATAAGGACCAGAGAGGTGGCTCAGCGGATAAAGGAGCTTGCTGCCAATACTGCCGGGAGTTTGATCCCTGGTACCCACATGGTGGAAGAAGACTCATGAGCGTTGGCTTCCGACCTCCACAAGCTCCATGAAGCACTCATGTGCACACACACACAAATATAACTTATTTTAATCAGATAAGCCCTGCCCTGGTCAAATTTCCCAGAGACAAACCAGAATTTGAATTCCATATTAGCTTGGAAATTGAGCATCATTAGTGTCAGGCGGCCGTCACTTGTCTACAGGACATGAAACATTGTGCTGGCCCGCAAGGAAATTCTCAAATTTGGCTTATACTTCGGCCATCATTTTATTCTGCTCCAGGGCTCTGGCAAACAAGAAAATCCATGCCTAAAATTTAATATCTCCCAGTGGACGTGAGCTGCCCCTGGGCTTGGGTCGGGGTTCATCTTGTTGCTAGTGCCCTGGGTCATGGCTGAGCCCAATGGCTCCTCCATCACTGCTTCCTACGACGTCCATGGCTTCGGTTTCTTCCCAATCTCCACATCGCTCCAAACTTCATGCTCACCAAGCTTAGCTCTCAGCATGTTAGGGTCATTGTGTCGCGCCCCCCCCCCCAAGCTCCAGTTGCAGCTTTTGGTGAAGTCAGCGTTGAGAAACAGACCAGGGAATTGTTAGGATTAACCACGAGGAACGATTATTCTACACGGATAAGTCATTTAAACAAATGTTTCCTGTGCTCAGTTAATGTAGTTAAAAATCATACGTACCTCCTTTCAAGCCTCAGCCCTTCCCCAGAGCCTCAACGCCTGCTATGGAGGCATCGCTGAACCCCTGAATTAACCTACTCTTCCCAGACTGCTGTGCGCCTCCATTCCCTCCAGGCTTTTTGTTTGGTTTTTTAAAGCGTGCTTTAATATTACAGTAGTAAGAACTCCCTCTCTCTCCGTGCCTACCTCCCTTCCCGTCCCTCCTTTAACTGATGCCCGCTCCCTCCGTGCATTTTATATTTGCAAAGAACATACATTGTGTAAAATGTTTCTGTCGTTATGAAGGATTGGAAAGTTTTCGGTGCTTATGTTTCAGTATTGTCGATATTGTGACTGATATTTATTTCTCATCCTTTCGGGATTCGCTGTCAGTTCTTTAGAAATAGCCGGGGTGGAGGTGGGGGATTAACGCGGTGGAAACTTTCACTGACTACGGTCCCGGTGTGCCGGCTCCAGGCCCCACCCAGCGTGCTCGGCGCCGACCCAGCTCGGGCTTTTGCTTCTGTCTCTGCGGTTCTCCAGGGCAACAACCGAAAAACGCAGTGAGTGTAAGACACGGTCGCATCAGCACCCATTAGAACAGAAAAGGCAGCAGCCACGTGCCGTGAGCCCCAGTGGCCTAATGGATAAGGCACTGGCCTCCTAAGCCAGGGATTGTGGGTTCGAGTCCCACCTGGGGTAGAATCTGGCGGTGTCTCTTTTTAAAGCTCTCAGATCACTTTTTTAAAAATGGTGCACAAAAAAAATAACATGAGACACGCATCCCGAATGGGGAGAGCCGCAGACCGCACGGAATCGAGCAAATAAAGGACTCTGTATGCAAACCGGCCCAGCGGCAAGAAGCGCGCGCCGGTGACTGCACGACTCCATCTCCAAAATTAGGAGCGCTCGCGCCACCCCAGGTGGGACTCGAACCCACAATCCCTGGCTTAGGAGGCCAGTGCCTTATCCATTAGGCCACTGGGGCGCGATAAAAAGCCATGTCCACGTGGTCCGTGATAGCGCGGCGTGCTGACGTGGCCAACCCTGCCCCGGAACGGACACCGCACACCCGGACACGGAGTCCCCAGGCGCCGAGAAAAGCCGGGCGGCGCCGCGTTGTGTCCCGAAGCGCTGCGAGATGGCAGAGATCCGCCCTCAGCCCGCGCGCACCCGGGCCGACCAGAAAGCACCCGAAGTCAGACGGGCAAGCCTCGCCGCCAGCGTCCCGCAGCGGGGCCCGCGAGCCGCCCCTCGGGGACAGATGCCACCCAGCACTGTCGCCGGGCTGCTGGAGCGGAGCCAGATCTTCCTCAAATAATACGTTCTAGCGAGGAATCGTTCCTGCTGAGACCGCGTGGCCTAATGGATAAGGCGTCTGACTTCGGATCAGAAGATTGAGGGTTCGAGTCCCTTCGTGGTCGGAAGGAAATGTTTTCATCCCCACATCGGTCCTTCCAATGGAATCTACATAAAGCCCTCGTTTTAAAGCGTTTCCCAAACATCGCGGAAGACCTGGTGATTTAGAGTGGGAAAACTTCCTGTTGTGACGCACTGTTTACCTTTTAAGAGGAGAATTGTAGCGCGCTTCGCCAGGTAGCTCCAGTGTCCTATGCAAGCAAGGGATTTTGGATTCAGTCTGGTTTGATGTCATTTGTTGCCTGCTGATTCTTTTAAATTTAATTTTGAGGCTGGCAGTGATTGCGCATTTCTTTAATCCCAACACTTGAGAGGCAGAGGTGGAGTGAGTTCCAGGACAGCCAGGACTACACAGAGAAAACCTGTCACGAAAAACTAAAAAGATGTGTGATATGTGGTTTGCTAGGTTCGAACTTGCAGCCCACCACCTTAGCCGCCTGAGGCTGGGTTGCAGGCATGCGCGTGTCCGGTTTGAGGGCTTAAATCATGCATGTATGTCAGAATGTATGTATACATGTACCTAATTCTTACTGAAGGCAGTCCACCAGGGAAAATGCCCGGCTCCATCCTCTCCTGCTGCTGAGGCGCTCCAGCCAGAGAAGTCTTTGGAAGCCTCTCACCCGGGCACACCTCTTGTGTTCCACACACAGCCCTCACAGCCCCTGCCCACACGGAGGGTAAGCCCCTCCCGGACAAGTCTGGAGGGTTCCACCAGGGCCAGGGGCTGGTAAAGTCCTGTTTTTAACTTTGTGTTTCCTTTATAAAGAAACAAACACACCAATGCAATGTCCTGCTTCCTGTTTCTGTTGTGTTCCTAGGCAAAATCTGCCTCAATTCACAGAAATCCACTCGCCTCTGCCTCCCTGGTGCTGGGATTAGAGTGCACCCTCACACCTGGCTCTTAGTTGGTTTTTTTTTTTGTTTGTTTTGGAGGGGTTTTCTTTCCACCTTTTGGTTTTTTTCAAGATAGGATTTTTCTGTGTAGCCCTAGCTGCCCTGGAACTCGCTCTGTAGACCAACCTGGCCTCAAACTCAGATCTGCCTCAGCCTCCCAAGCGGTAGAATTATAGGTGTGCGCCATTATGGCCCAGCTGCTTTGTTCTTTTACAGAAGTGGAGCAGCAGTAATTCTAGATTCCTGAGGCAAGAATGTTTAAGTTGATAAAATGCAGTCTCTCCTAAAATGGATCATCCCCAAATGCAGACAGAAGGTAGTAGAGGTCTGTTGACCTGGAGCTCACAGATGTCACAGGTAGCTATGCCTTTAATGTCCACAACAGCACCCACTGAAGAGCTACTGAAGAGTTCCTGATCCTCAGCCAGACCCTGCTGTTCCACTGGTCATGCATTTTCAGGCCTGTGCATCAGAATCCTCGCATGGCCATGCTGTCCCTGCATGATTTAAGCTATAGCAGGTGAGATGGGTACGTAGATACCTAGAAACCTGGAAGCCAGCCGGCCTCATTAATTCTCATTACAATCCTGAAGCTTGTGAGAACAGCACAACCCTGAGACTCAGCAACTCTGCACTGGGCACAGGTCCTGACTTCATGGCTGTCTCCTCCAACCACCTTAACTTTTTCAGTTTTGTGTGTGTGTGATGTAGAGGCCAGAGACTATCCTCACCGTAGTGTGTGGTAGCAGGCTCTGCTGGTCAAGTTCCAGCAGCCCGAGGCCACAGTGACTGGTTCCCTACAGTCTGCCCCTTACACAACTGTTCACACAACAAAATGCTCCTGGTGGGGCCACCTCAGAAGAGTTCACCACTGAAAGACAACACCCCGCAGTTATGTAAATGTTTTATTTTAATGTCCAGAGCATGGAATGAAGGACTGTTGCTCCTCCTGATCTGTTCACAGGTCCTCGATGGGCTGGTGAGGCCAGTAGGGGTACTTCTTCTTGTCCAGCTTGGTTTCTGGGAAGACTTCATTCAAGTCATCAATGGTCATCTGATCAAAGGGGATGATGTTCTTAATCTTCTCCAGCTAGAAACAGCAGAAGCCAGTTAGCTATGGCAAACGGGCAAGGCCACTGGGATCATGGCAAGAGTCAGGGAAGGCCACTGCCACA